TAGACCACTTTCTTCCATTATCTAATGCCACAATTGTCCGAATTGTTTTAATTCTTGCCACTAGGGACAAAACCTCTGTATAATCCACTCCCTTCTTTTGTAGGAAATCTCTCACCACCAATCTAGCTTTCCTTTTGTCTATACTGTCGTTTGGATTCATTTTCAGCTTAAACACCCATTTCAAGTCTATGGATGTTTTATTGTTGGGTAAGTCTGTCAATTCCCAGGTTTTAGTTCTCTCTATGACTTTCAACTCTTCTAGCATAGCCTTCTTCCACTTCTCTTCTCTCATAGCTTTCTCATAATCAACTAGTTTAGCTTCTGCCATTAATGCAAAGTGAACCAAATCCCCTTCATTATTCACTGCATTATCAGAATAAACCTCAAAATCCACCAGAGACCTTGGTGCCCTACGCTGCCTACCACCTCTCTGCAACTGTGGCTCAATATTTTGAGCATCTTCACCTGAAACTTCAGTTTCAGCTTCTGCATCTGTTCTTTCTTCTTCAAAATAACCACTGTTATCGTTAAACCCTATACTCCCTTCATTCCAATCCCAGGCTTCTTCTTCATTGACCACAACATCTCTGCTTATGTAGATTTGTTTAGTCATAGGGTTGTATAATATGTATACTCCTGTAGAATGACACCCAACTAAAATCATGGCCTCACTTTTATCTGCCAGTTTTGTCCTCTTAGCATCTGGCACATGTTTGTGACACTTTGAGCCAAATATCCTCAAGTGTTTAACTCCTGGCCTACTACCACACCAAACCTCCTCTGAAACTTTATTTTCCAGCTTCTGTGTTAGACATTTGTTCAGTAAATACACAGCTGTTGAAACAGCTTCCCCCATAATGAATGAGGCAACTGCTTCTGTTTCAGCATCCTCCTAGCCATGTCAAGTATCATCCTATTTCTTCTCTTTGCCACCCCATTATGTTATGGAGTATATGGTGTTGTAACTTCATGCTACACACCATTCTCTCTGTAGTATCCTTCAAATTCATTTGACAAATACTCCTTTCCTCCATCTGTTCTCAATATTTGAACCATTTTCCCACTCTACTTCTCTGTCATCGTCTTAAATCTCTTGAAAACAAAAAACACCTTTGACTTTTCCTTTATCAGATACAGCCAAATCATTTTGTTGTACTCATCAATAAATGTGACAAAATATTTATTTTGTCCCAGAGATAATTCCTCAACTGGTCCACACACATCAAAATAAGCCACCAGCAGTACATCTTTTGCTCTCATATGCATATGTGCCTTGAAAGCATTTCTAGGCTATTTTCCCACCAAACACCCTTCACACACCTTTCCTGGTACAACTAATGTCTCAAGCAATCCAGTCACCATCCCTTTATCAGTTAGCTTTTTCAAACTTGTAAATTTTAAGTGCCCATACCTCTTATGCCACAACCAACTCACTTCCTCTATCATAGTTGCTGCTAAACAGTGATTTTTTTGTCAAGACAAGCCTTGTTTGAAATGTCTTGTTCTTTGCCAAGGGCGATTTCAGTACAAGCCTTTTCTTAGCATCATAAACTTTCAGCACTTCCTCCTTCATTGACACTAAAAAGCCTTTTTGCACCAGTTGCCCTACACTTAACAGATTGCACTTCATCCTTGGCACATATAACACATCCTTTATCACCATGGTTTCTTTACCATTTTTCTTTATGACCACATTCCCAACTCCTTCATCCTTTATCACATTTTCATCTGTCAGCTTTATCTTGCTGGATCTGCTAGTATCTATGTTGGACATCCATTCTTTATGCCTAGTCATATGATTGGAACACCCAGTGTCAAGAAACCAACTTTCTTTACCAAACTCTTCCTCACTGGTTGTCACCATTAGCACCACAGGCTCTTCTTAATAATCTTGAGCCACATGTGTTTCAGCATCATCTGAAGCCTTCTTCTGTTTTCCTTTTCCATGCCAGCAATCTGTTGCATAATGGCCCCATTTCTCACAGTTATAACATTGTATTTTTCTCATATTAACATTCTTTCTTCCTCCTCTGTCTCTGTCAGTCCAAGATTCACGGTCACCCCGCCTTTTCTGCTGTGTCTACTCACCAGATTTTGAATCATGGGACAAAAAATGTCCTTTGTTAAATTTGCTGCCTCCTCTACTCTTCTTCCTGGCATGTCCTCCTCTCTTGCTTATCTGGGCTTTTAAAGCTTGTTCATCACTTGTTTTGTCTGAATTTCGTGTCAGACATTTCAATTCATGTGCCTCTAACGTGGCCTGCAACTCTTCCATTGACAAAGCTTTCATGTCTCTACTAGATTCTTCAATAGCCACTACAACATTATCAAATCTTTTAGTCAGAGTGCGCAAAATTTTCTCCACTATATTGAATTCTGTCACTGTCTCCCCACAACTCTTAATCTAGTTTACCAGCAACTGCAATCTATTAAAATAGTCTATCACCTTTTCTGATTCTTCCATTGAAAGTAGTTCAAACTGCCTTCTTAAGGATTGCAACCTCACTTTCTTGATTTTCTCTCTACCACCGTGAACCCTCTACAGAATCTTCTAGCATTCTTTTGTTGTCCTGGCCTTGACAATCTTTTCAAAATTCACTATATCCACACATTGGTGCAAGAGGCAACGAGCCTTGCAATCTCTTTTCTTATTTGCGGCTCCGTCCTTCTCCATAACACCTATTGTGACAACCTCCCATAATTCTTGATAGCCAAGAATGACCTCCATTCTTATGACCCACACCCCTTTTTCTGTATACACCAAACCCGATACGCAAAAAAACTCTCACTGCTTCACTGTGTTACTAGGGTTCCAGAATTTCCACCATCTCTTGTTATGGCACCAGATAAGTTTTTTACGTTTTTATTCTCTATATTCCTCACACGCGTACAATCACACAATAATTTACACAATAATAGGTTTGATTTGTGTATTTTGTGATAAACGGGAAAAATTACATTACCATTGATTTTGAATTATGGGTACTCTTATATAGGAGAGTACACCATTATTGGGTTACAAAATTAGTTACAAACTGAAAATTGAAAGTTAAAACATAGGGCAAGAATTAAATTCTAGCCATTTATGTAAAAAAATTAAGTGGAGTAAAAATTATATATTATTTTATTTAAGTTAATTCAAATTTAATGAATTATAAAATTTTAAAAGAACCAAAATTATAAAAATTATAAATATATAGGCGGTAAAAAAATTCGAGTTGACGGGACTAAGATCCGCCGCCCTTGTTAATGAGTACCTACCTATTCAAATTTGGAAATCTAAGAAGTAATGAGTTGTATATTATTATCACGTGAGACTTAATATCCCGTTGATTCCTATGGGGATTGTCAAATTATTTGGCTTGATTCAATTTTAAAGAAAATGAAAGTAAATATTGAAATACCTATACAACTACTAGTTTATAACAAGTGAACTATGAATGTAGTTAATAATCTTTTATCATAGAAACTAAATTTTATTTTATAAGGGAGTAAGTTAATAATGGAAAATTGAAGATTGAATATTATATATTATTTCACATCATTGTAAGTGGTTAATGTATTAACTAAATCTCTAAGAAAGGCAAGTTTAAGAAATTAAAGGTTAGATGGAATATGATATCATTAAATACATAAATTAAGAAAAAGTTATATAATTAAAGTTAACTATATACCCAATTACTCTATGAATAAATAAAATATGTTATAGTCAGATTTAATATAACATAAATATTGTTTCATTCTTACTCCAATCATTTCTAATCATCTTAAATTAAAAAAAAATGTTCAAAATGTTCAAAAAGTTTAATTTACTTTGAAATTGAATGGAAATGGTACAAACAAAAAATAAATATTGAATGGCGGCCTAGTACAAGGGCCGGCGACTTGATTGGCTGCTTGTGCTTTACGATAAGTAACCAGATTCCCATTCTTATTCGTTTGCTCCTTCAACCTAATTATATCTACTTTTCATCTCTTTTCTTCTCCCAATATCAAGGACCAACCAAAAGTTAGCAGCTTTTCTCATCACAAGAGGTAAACAACGCTTTGATCTCATTCTTTCTCACATTTTATATACGGCTATGCATGTATTGAAAATCACTTGCTGTAGCCGATCGCTTTGTTCTTCTCAATTGGGTAACGTCACCCTTTTTTCCTAATTTTGTCACATATTTAGTCTTGCCATCACTCATCTTTCACACGCCAAGAAGATGCTTTATAGCTTTTAATCAATCTTAATTTGTTCTTCTGAAAAAAAAAAAAACACAAACGAAGGTCCATTGTCCCAAATAATAATTAGTTGCAAAGGTGGCTTGAAGGGGACATAGGGATTGAGGGTACTTCGGATCAAGGTATCAAGTATTTGGAAGTAATGATTTCATCCATATTTGCTATAAAAATATACACATCTCTATTTTAGTGCTCTTAGCCTCCAAAAAATTACTAATTCCTAGAAATATTTTACTTAAATAATAAGAAAATTGTTTGCACATTTGGTGAAAAATCACAACTTTCACAATAAACCTCGTCAAGGATTTCTGAAATTTTAATATCAAAATAAACTAGTGGAGAAATTTTATAAATACCATGTCAAACAAAATTATACGGGGATCTTGATATAAACTATTCTACGACTATTGACCTTTTTTATAGAAATTGTGAACTTCTAATATGAAAATTATTGTGGATATAAAAATTAATGAAATTATTATTTGAATATAAAGAGATTGATAGGTGAGAAGTAATATTTTTTTTTAACTGTTTTTATGTTTTATTTATATACACACTTCAAAATTAGTTAGTGACCTTCTATGCATTGGAAGAGAGTCATATAGACCAAAGGGCAATGTATCAAAAATTGGAAAAAAAAAATTATTTCATGATATATAACTCATTTTTCTTATCATTGGAGGTAATGAGGGGTGATCCTCCTCCCAACTTTATTACTTGCACCAACTTTTGACACTCTCTGGTTCGCAGGAAGACCCCAGTTCACAACTATGACTCTCCATTCTGTTTTAGGCAACAGTGAACAAAATTCAGAAAGGTATAATATGGCATACAATTTTCTAATTCAAAACTAAAGTCCAAGACAAATTTCTTTATGCATAAACATGTTCTTTTTTTCATGATAATAATCATCATTCAAACCCCATAACTTTGAGTTTGGAAAAGCAGTGTTGATGTTGAAAACTGCGCTGATATGAACTGGGATGAGCTTGGATTTAGTCCAGTTCCGACAGATTTCATGTATGTCATGAAATGTGCAAAAGGAGACGAGTTTTCCCAAGGATCCCTCGTTCCCTATGGAAAGATAGAGTTCAGCCCTTTTGCCACGATATTAAACTATGGACAGGTTAAAATAACATTGTACCTACTTGTGTTTCATCAGCTTCTATCAATGATACAATGTTTGTACAAGCCACACAAAACATGTTTTGGTCCGGTAAATCACAGATCAAATTCTAGCTCAATCCTAACAAATTAATGTACTTATCTTCAGGGAATCTTTGAGGGGCTTAAGGCATATAGAACTGAAGATGGGCGTATACTTCTGTTTAGACCTGAGGAGAATGCCCGACGAATGAAGATAGGGGCAGACAGATTATGCATGCCATCCCCATCCGTAGACCAATTTGTTACTGCTGTAAAACAGACAGCTGTTGCCAACAAACGTTGGGTACCAATCTCTGTTTTTATCTTTTAAGTTTTATTCGTAGACACTCTCATTATAACACTGGTGACTAGTCAGAAATCACTGTTAGCATGACAAATGATTATTGTAAAAGTCAATAATTTTTTCATGCACAACCATTTCTGATTGGATCCTTTATACTTTCAATAAATGTAGTCTTTATTACACATAAACTATTTACTTTTACACCACTACTACTACTGCATACTGCATAGACTATTTAACCAGTGTCAAAATCTTTTATTGTTATTTTTTTTAACAGCAAAAGTCTTCTGTCTTTTTCCTATGTGAAGTTGAAAAATAAGGTGAATTGATCGTCAAATATGAAACAGGTGCCTCCGCTAGGGAAAGGGTCACTGTACATTAGGCCATTGCTCATGGGAACCGGAGCTTCTTTAGACGTGGCTCCTTCACCTGAGTACACACTACTTATTTATTGTTGTCCAGTCACTAACTACCACAAGGTCTGTTATATACGAACTTCGATTTTATTATAAAGAAAAAATTTAATGAAATTTAGTATCAAGACTAAATTTCTATTTTATGACAGGGTTCACTAAACTTGAAAGTGGAGAGTAAGTTCTATCGAGCAATATCTGGCACTGGTGGGACCGGAGGGATCAAGAGTGTTACCAACTACGCCCCTGTAAGCATGGCAATACCAATATATCACTTTCCTCCAATTTTGGGTTTCCGTTTTCCTTAGTTTGGAATTGGGGTACTTACCTGAATGTAGAAGATATCTAGTCAGCGAAAAATTGTTGTCTCAGAAGTTTACACTAGAATTTCATCATTCTGTGAAGTTAATTGAATAGTTTATTTCTACTGAAAGCGGGTCCATTTTGCTTATATATGCTGCTCATAATACAAAAAGTTAATGCCTGAGTTTGTGAGACAAATCATAGAGCATATTATAATCCCTTAAATGAATTTCGCTCCTCATTGACCACGTAAGTGCTGTACATTTGTGTCGTAGGTTTATGCTGCAACCACTGCAGCGAAGGCCGATGGATTCTCTGATGTCTTATTCTTGGACTCAGCAACTGGAAAAAACATAGAAGAGGTTGCTGCATGCAATGTGTTTGTTGTGAAGGTAAACCAAAACCTTAGTTTCATATTCACGAATAGATTGTTATCATGACACATATTATAGAATGAACAACAAAATATTATCGAAGAAAACAACTCTAGCATTTTTTATTTCCCTTAACCTGATACGTTAATAAAACCCAATTTGATCTTTATTTGTATTTCATATTTTCCTTCTCATTTTATGAAGGGTAATAGTATCTGCACTCCGGAAACAAATGGAGCCATCCTGCCTGGGATCACACGAAAATCCATCATTGACATTGCCTTAGATTTGGGCTATCAGGTATTATATTTTCATAAGTTTTGAAATGTAAAATAGTTAATCGTTGTGGAGAATCTAGTAGCCTAACTAATGCATCCTATTAATGATTTGGCAATATTTGTATGGTTACTAAGAATACGATTACTTGATCTATGTTTCAGGTCATGGAACGTGCCATATCAGTGGAGGAAATGCTAGACGCTGATGAAGTGTTCTGCACAGGGACTGCTGTTGTTGTCAACTCTGTTTCATCTGTAACCTACAAGGAAACAAGGTAAACTGTTTTGGTACTAATTATTAATGCTCACTCTAAAATATCAATTTTAATTTGCAGATTTCGCTTTTATTAAAAATTTATGTTATATTTATATTCATAGTAGTTCATATAAGATTAAAAACATTATTAAAAGAAAGTTTGATTTTTCTAGGAATTTGTTTATTGGTCCATTATCTTTTCCTTATCTTCTTGAAAATTCCCTGCAACTAATGATTGTTATACTGCTAATAAATTGTTGATAATACTTTTAATGCAGAGTTGAATTCAAAACAGGACCAGAAACATTGTCCCAAAAGCTGCGCAAAACACTGGTTGGAATTCAAACTGGGTGTATTGAGGACACAAGGGGGTGGACAATTCGAATAGATTGATGAATTAGCACAATCTGCTTCTGCTTCAATTGATACTTTCTTCACCTTCCATTTCCCCCAACAGGAGGATTACTAAGCTGTGTTGTTCGGATCCCATTTTCATTATACAACAATACTTTGAAAATAATTCAAAAGAATAACTATTTTTTACCATATATTATAATTACTTTATAAAAATAGTTTAAATATATATATATATATATATATATATATATATATATATATATATATATATATCATACTCATTGTTTTTGATAAGTTTCTTAGTATCATCATCATGCAAACATAGAATAGTTATTAAGAGTTACACGTTAATTTGCCAGGAAATCACAATTCTCAAACATAACCTGCGTGCTTTCCAGAAAGCACTGTCACTGCTGAATTCAATTCTTGTGCGATTTTGAGCACAAAAAAAAAAAATGAAATCTGATTCGACATAGTGTATTCATCTCATTGATCCTCAAAAAGAATTTGTGGTTACAAATGAGAAAAGAAAAAATACCATATATTAATGAAATCAATGGCCAGCTAACCAAAGATGAAGAAGTTCATGAACACTATCTTGCTCTCTTTTCTTTTTTTCCCCTTTTCTAACAAATATAGATAGATAACTACTTTATCAACTTCTACCCTTGATACTTACTATTCAGAAGCTCTATGAACAAGTCATTCCAGGTATCTGTAATTCCAGGTAAGCACCAGTGCATGCAATCATCATGTTTTTTCCCCCCAGCTGAGCCTGGATGTGCATCAGCCCTGAACTCACTCATGTGAGTGATGTCCAAAATAATGAAACCAGATCCCTTGAGAGCCTTGTAGAGGTGCTCATTCACTAGTCTAGTCTCCACATTTGTCCCATTATTCTTCACAGAGAAAAGTTCTTCTACCTAAATGGACAACAAAACTTTCAAGATCAACTTACTAGTAAATGATTTAGCATGAAACAATCACACTTGAAAGAAGAATCACATCACATATGTCATTCATTGGATGACTGTTCTAGTCAAAACATGTTCAAATAGATAATTGACTAAATGGACCACCTGCTCTATCGACAAAGGTCTATCCCTTTGACAGGAACCACCCTGATCCCAGTCTCCACCTTCAAAATGTCTGGGTGATTGAGTACGAAAAAATTTGACTGCACCAGGCCTTGCATTTTTCTCCACATACTTGATCTGCAAACAAACCCACTCTCGTATTAAAATATGCGTATCAAACTCATACCTATTTAAACTAGGTGTAATTTGGCAAAGGCATGTGTAAAAGTAATAGGGATCAGAGTAATAAAGACAATCTTTTAAAAGTATCTTAATCGAGATCAGTTTGGGGGAGAAATAATTGATGATGCATTCTATGAATCAATGGTTTAGGGGAATATCAGTTTTTTTCAAAAGCTCATAATGTAGAAAGAGAAAAAACCTTTTCAACCTCAAAAGATGTTAATCCAAACACATTTAGACGTTCAATGCTTTTTGGAAAAGAATAATAAAATTCTATAATGTGCTTGCTAGGCATAACTCCCAAATGCTTGTTTCTAATGAAAAATATTGCTTGATTTCGATGTTCATTGTGTTGCAGAATACTTCATCTTAATGCTAATGGCTGGGATAGTTCCCAAATAAATACTGACATGTCAATCGATAGCATGTTGACCAATTTATATTCTTGGTGCTAATCTCCATCTAATCATAATCATATAAAGAGGTTATCATTTGTTTTCACTTTTCAATAAAGAGGTTGTCTGTATCATATCTGAGACCTACAGAAATGCCCCTTAACAATAAAACATTCATCTTTAGAGTTTTACAAATTTACGCGTATACACTTTAGTCAAGTATCAAAACAATATTTCTGTGCTGAAGAAAATTTAATAAGATCGATTGAAGCTAATGAATTTGACATTCACTATCATAATATGTATTTCATGATTCACAACAGAGAATCTATGGTAACTGGTAACAATAGTTGACATTCAAAACCACTAAGAACCCCAATAAGCATCTCGTCCTTTCAATAGTGAGGAATGGACCTCCCCACCAAACAGTTGTTGACAACTCAATCTAAACACTAAAGCATCTTATCTCATACAAACCCTGATATAAGCATTTTTTTTTCCTCATATATTGATGGGAACAACATTATGAAACTAAATATACAAAGTTCAGCACAAGCAAAGGAACTAAAGTCAATTAACAAGATTGCCATGAACATGGAAATTGTTTCATACTCTCATGTTAACTTAGATCCATAAATTATTATTTCCTACCATTTCCACTACCATTATAGTGTAAACGAGAGCAAAGACATTACCATGTGCTCCAAAACCATATCCAGGCCTTGATCTGGCCGTAATGGAGGGATTACTGGCTGACCATTCTTGAAGAAAAGCATTGGGGACTTCACAGGGTCAAATTTTGCAGGGGCCCACCACCTGTTTATACAAACCAGAAAATTAAATCAATATATTCCTGTATACTTTCTTGGAGTTTTCTAAACAACTGTAACAGCATCAGCTCATGCAAAGGAAAGTGAGGAGCAAGCAGTAAAAGACTCATTATCTGCATGATTAAACCAGAGCATAGAACTCCAAAGGTATTCTTGAATGGTTGAATCACCGGCAAAAACTCTGGAATTAGTTCAACTCAAACAAAGGAAGATAACAAGCAAGCATATCCATCAAAGGCATTACCCTATTATATGGATTGCTAAAAGAAAACTTTAGAGTCATGGGCACTGATGAAACCAGATAACAAAACTGACATAAAATACAGCTTAAGCCTGGCAACCCGAGAAAGAAAATTCAAAAATCAAGTAAATGCACACACAAGAAAACATTACAATGATACAAGACAAAATCGTATCTCATTATTTTCAAATATTAAATACCGAATGGGAAGGCAGCTACAAATTACAATACGTGACCCATTAACAGAAAGAGACTATAGAAACAGTCTAGTATTACCAGTGCCCCGTGTTAAAAATTAGAATATCGTGGAAACTTAGAGCCCTTTCCCATGTGCTGTCTGGAACATCAACATCAACTCTATATCCCTCTCTGAATCCAAGAGCTTCTAAGGCACCACCTGTATCACTACCTGACCAGCTGCATCAAACAGAAGAACAATAACAATGGTTAACAATTTTCTGACAGCTAATACCATGTATAAGGTGAACTCAGAAGAGGTTTTTTTCAACTTATTTGAGCTTATCTTATGAACATCATGAAAATAGCTTATGACACGTTCATAAGTTGATTTTAGCTTATTTCAATAAGCTCTTCAGAATAACTAATGAAAACAACTTATATGAAACAATTTAACTTCATTTTGTCTTCAATTGCAAAAACAACTTTCCATTTCTACCTAATGTCAAACACTTCGATTCACATTTGCACCTCAACACTCGACACTAACTAACTAGAACGGGACATAAGATAATATAAACAATGACATCTGAACAAACAATAACAAATTGAAAATCCTAGAATCCGTCCTTATACATTTATAAGTTACATAGAGACTGTGCAATTCATGGAATCATATAGAAACAGCAGATCATTTGAAACAAAACCCAGAAGAAAATAGGCGTGAAGAACAGGAGAAGAAAGAGGAATGAATGAGAAAAGAGCAAGCTTACCTACCATAACGACCGAGAAGATTGGTCCGGTGATAGGCGATGGTGAGATTGTAAGTGAGAAAAGTGAATCCACGGTCAGCGCCAACAGGGCGCCATTTCTTGATTTGTCCATCGGAGGCACTCTTGAGAGCGCAGAAGAGAGACACGAACATGTTCCTGTTGAGCGAGTCCCCGACAAACCCTGCACTGCTGAACACCCATTATTAACAATCCCAAACAAAAGAAGAGAGAGGGAGAGAGTACCAATGGCGGTGTGGGTGTGAGTGCGGAGGAAGTTAAGGGGATGGAATTGGGGGAGATCGCAGTGGCGGGGCTGCCAGCGCCAAGTGGGGAGATGGGGGGCATTGGGTTTGTTGGCGGAGAGGCAGTTCCAGCCCTTGAAGATCTCCTTGCAGGTGTGATCGTAGGTTGGAGTTCTGGGAGGGTGGGGGATCCATGTTCCGTCGGAGAAGTCGCAGGAAGCAGGGGGGTGTTTGTCGAAGGTGAGAAGGGAATGGGGTGTGGAAGGGGTGGAGGTGGTCCTGAACTGGGAGAGAAGGAGGAAGATGGAGGTGAAGCAGAGAAGAGAGAGAAGTGGAAAGAGAGGAACTTTCTTCTTGGTGCTTTGCGGGTTACCTTCCCTTGTGGCCATGCCAAAGCCAATGCCAGATGAGTTAACCTCACTGCTCCTTCTGCATTTCCCTTTTACTTCTTCTCCACTTTATCTGGGCTTCAATTCCTTTCTCATTACTTATGTTTCACTAAAATAAATGTTTTTTTACACTTATTTTCTTTTACAGATATATATAATTAAAAGCTTCAATTTTGTTTTAATTTTACTTCTTATATTTCATAAAATATTAGAAAATATAAAGAACATAGTAGAGAAATTATTAAACATTTATTTTATTTTTGTTTTTAAAAAAATTAGAGATTAATTTGAAAATAATTTTAATTTGAAATTATATTAAATGAAAAAAATGAGATATATATATATATACATATAAAATATTAAAAAATTACAATACAAAATATATGAGGTTGTATAATTATTAAGAAAAATATGAATATAATAAATACTAAAATTGAAAATATATTTTATTAGATAGTTTGTAAACACCAAATTATTGGTACCATTAGAGTGCTGATATTTTGACACCCGATTTTAAACATCCATTTGACAACTGAATAAAAAAATATTAAATGCACAGTGTAACCGAATAAAAAATATTAAATGCACAGTGTCTTGGCAGGTAGCGTCGCTCGAGCGATGTAAATTTCGCTTGAGCGACGACACTTTAGATAGCGGTTTGTGAGTGAACCGCTCACTAAAGTATGTTTTTGTTAGCGGTTCAGAAGTAACCGCTATCTAAAGTCATATTCTTTTTCATCTTTCCCTCCTACTTTCTTCAACATCGCGCTCTTTCGATCGCGTTTTTTGCGCTCTACGCTCTCATTCTCGCTCTCGCGCTCACATTCTCGCTCTCGCGCTTTCATTCTCGCTCTCGCGTCTTCTATTAAGCTAAATGTACGTTCTTTGTATTTTCAATCTTTCCGATTCTCTTGCTCACATTGAAGCATATTACATTGTAATATATTTGTGTGTCGCCAAGTTCGCGTTCCAGTCTCCATTCGCCATTGTTGTTGTAGGACGCGCTTATTGGGAGTTAGTGCATTATATATTTTTAGGGTTTAGGGTTTAGAGTTTGTCTACATTGAGATCTGAAATTGTGTTTTCTTACTGCATGTTATTGACCCTTAGTAATGAAAATGAGTATATGCTTTGACATAACTTTTATGATATTCATTGTTAGATGATACTCAGATTGTTGTCATGAAATACTTGTATGAATGTGCTCGACTCGTAGTAAACGTCATGACGAGTAAATAAATTTTATACTATGAACTCAAATTAAATAGGGTTACATGTATTTGCAGTTTGAAATGGAAAGCATAGACGATGGATCTTCAAATGTTAAGAAGGTGAATGTTGTATCCATTTATATAATATAGGATATTGTTGATGATAATTATAATTATTTAATGTGATTTTCAGGTATATTTGCGACATGTTTGCAGGACTAATTATTTGGGTGAAGTGAATAACATTCTTACTACAGAGCAAAGAAGTCGTATTGAGGCAACACCATTTAAATGGTTGATGTCATTGGGTAGAAAGGTCAAAATTAGTAGAACATTGCTTAGTGAATTAATAAGTAGATGGGTTGAAAAGAGAGGAGGATTTAATATAAGGTCTGAGATAGTATGCTTAACACTATTAGATGTGTGTTTAGGTTTAGGACTTCATGTAGTAGGCGAAAATGTCAGCATTGTAGAAGGAGGTATCGTCGCTCGAGCGAGATTATTTTCGCTCAAACGAAACACAACCCGAGAATCCCCATTCTTAGGAGCTGGTGTCGCTCGAGCGATGTTAATTTCGCTTGAGCGATATTAGAAAAAATAGATAATATGATCGATTATTTTAGGTTATAATCGATCATTAACATACGTTAGACAGCGGTTTACCGTTAACCGCTATCTAATATATATTTTTAAAAGCGGGTCTTATCAACCACTATCTAAGGTCGCTTCGTGCCTCTCGCGTTCAGAGGCGCTCAAGCGACTAGTTAATCGCTTGAGCGACAACTGAATCTTATATGTGGTGAACCAAGATTTAGAACATGGCTAACTGCGTACGACGTTTCGTCTGTGGTTCACCAGTCGCTCAAGCGAGGATGACATCCCTTGAGCGATGGAACCTTAACCAATAGGGACCATCGGGTTCTATCTCGCTCAAGCGATGTTTTTACCGCTTGAGCGAAAAGTGATTCCAATATGTGGTGAACCAACTTAAATTATTTGGCTAACTGTGTGTGACGTTTCGTCTTTGGGTATAACCTCGCTCAAGCGATAAAGTATCGCTCGAGCGACGCAGTCTTCAAACAAGGCAGACTCTCGGGTTCTATCTCGCTCAAGCGAAATTTTAAACGCTTGAGCGGAAAATTGATTCAAATATGTGGTGAACCAACTTAAATTATTTGGCTAACTGCGTGTGACGTTTCATCTTCGGTATATCCTCGCTCAAGCGATAAAGCTATCGCTCGCGCGACGGAGCCTTCAAACAAGGGAGACTCTCGGGTTCTATCTCGCTCAAGCGACGTTTTGATCGCTTGAGCGGAAAATTGATTCTAATATGTGGTGAACCAACTTAAATTATTTGGCTAACTGCATGTGACGTTTCGTCATTGGGTATATCCTCGCTCAAGCGATAAAGCTATCGCTTGAGCGACGGAGCCTTCAAACAAGGGAGACTCTCGGGTTCTATCTCGCTCAAGCGACGTTTTGAACGCTTGAGCGAAAATTGATTCTGATATGTGGTGAACCAACTTAAATTATTTGGGTAACTGCGTTTGACGTTTATCAACAGTTGATGGTCCATACATTTACGTAACAATCATCGGTTGTAGACATTTATCAGACATGTGATAAAAAACAAGTTGAGTTTTTAAACAAGTTTATCCAGACATTTATCAGCTTTCTTAAACAAGTTTTTAACTAATACAGCTTTGATAGAACCGATTAAAATTACTTACAATATTCAGAGAAGTGTTTTTACAGTATTTTAATCGATACAACTTGAGTTTAATGGGTTAAAACCACTTGGAGTTCAGGATGATCGATCAGAATACAATTATGACCGGTTAGAATCAGATATGATCGATCAGAACTGAATTATGACCGATCAGAATATGTTATGATCGATCAGAATTTAGTTATGACCGATCATAACTATTTTAATCGATTAAATCTCGTTTCAATCGATTAAAACAACTTAGAAAATTTCTACACAGCGTTTTAATCGATTAAAACTTATTTTTATCAGTTAAAATAACTTGAAAAGTGTTACAAGAAAGTTGTGCAGTATTTCAATCGATTGAATAACGAAACAATCGATTAAATCAACTTAGAAGATTTTTTTGTAAAGTGTTTTAATTGATACAAACGTTGTCAGTATCAGCTTAAAACAAATCTGTTAAAGAATCAAGAACGTTTTAATGGATTAAAAGAAGTTTTAACAGATTAAAACTGCACTTTTAATAGATTAAAAAATCTTTTAACAGATTAATTAAACCAAGCAGTTTTGAAAATCTTCTATAAAAACAGAGTTGCTTGAACTTTTTAAACACACATTGAATATCATCTTTACACATCCTTGAGCAATCAATAAAGCAAACTTCAAGCACTCTTTTCAAGAAAGATTCGCATCAGCTTTTGAGAAGTTCTTTGAAAATCTTTCTTGAGGCAACTTGTTTTCTTTTGAAGAAGAAACACTTACAGCAGAATTGCATAAACTGGTTGTAGAGGTTGTCAAGAACTGGAATTTGGTTCTTGGTAAAAGGTTAGGTGTTGGTGCCTGGAATTTGGTTGTAGAGGTTATCAAGAACTGGAATTTGGTTCTTGGTGAGAGGTTGTTTGCAGGAACTGGAATTTGGTTCTTGTGGTAGATTAAGTGTAAGATTGTAAATCTGTAAAACATTTGATCTAGTGGAACCCAGCTGGAATTTGGCTGGAGACTGGATGTAGCCCTGGTATTGGGTGAACCAGTATAAAACACCGGTGATATTAGATAATCTGTTATTTGCGAAAAACTTTTAAAGAACAACTCACCCCCCCCCCCCCTCATTAAGATAGCGGTTATTTGGCCAACCGCTATCTGAACTATACATTATGATCGATTATTGTCCAATTATAATCGATCAGATTGACATATATGACTTTAGATAACGGTTATTTGGCCAACCGCTATCTGAACTATGCATTATGATCGATTATTACTCAATTATAATCGATCAGTTTTACATATATTACTTTAGATAGCGGTTAATTGGCCAACCGCTATCTGAACTATACATTATGACATATATGACTTTAGATAGCGGTTATTTGCCGAACCGCTATCTGAACTACATTTATTATAGCGGTTATTTTGCCAACCGCTATCTAAGGTCGCCTCGCGCTCGAGCGACTATGTAATCGCTTGAGCGACAGCGACAGTTGAACCTTTACCAAACGAAAGTAAACTCCTGCAAATCCTGGAAGGAGAAAAGTGTACCCTTGAGTTACTTTTTCTCATATGAGCTCGTACAAAGGCGCCAAGAGCTTTCTTATTCAC